TTCGCTGTGGAACATGACTTCTCAGAGAAGTTTGAATTCAATGCAGTGCTTCGTTTCCTTTGAATCTTCCTTGGGATCAAACATCCTTTACTTTCAGCACTGGCAAAATGCACTGACAGCTACAGCTAATTTGTTGTAATGCTAAACGGTTGATCAGCAGTTGCATTTACGTCTCTAAAGCGTTTTCCATTTTTAGTTTCCGTTCATTTCCAACGTCTATTGTAAATACACATTTGCGTACGGGCAGGATTGGTCGGTCGTCGCGGTAATGCTAGTTTTTCTTTGTATTTTGTATTCGTGTCTAGCCACCTGTGTCAGGGGATAGAAGATGGAATTACTCAGCTTTCTCATCCTAGTCAAGTAGCGACAACGAGAGGTCAGTTCGTTTTCAATTTTCCCCTCGAAATAACGTTCTCGTCGACCAATCCTTGCGGATGTAAGCGCTACGTGTTTTGATTGCTTCACCTCAGTGTTTGACTCATTGCGTTTAGGGCCGAGGCTTGTTTTGTCCTGCTACGGGACTGACTTTTTTGGTCATGACGTCATCAGAGGTTACGGTGCCACCACCTTGCCGGTTTCCCCGGGATCGTAAGTAGACCGAACCTGTGCACCGAAGTACGCGGTTTCACGGAGTGATGATTTAAGCCATAAGAAAACTGTGCCTATGTTCGTGCCTCGATCGTCCTCAGGATTTCAGGCGGTGTTCGGCTGGTTGCTTGGTAGAAGACCCGAATTCGCTGACCCCACGTTTGTTGCACAGTGCTCGAACCGCGAAAGTAACGACCTTTATTTTTTTGCTTTTTCTAAGGGAGAAGTTATGGAAGGAACTTTTTCAAACACATTTTTTATTCGCTACTTTTAATCATTGACGTCACGTCAGCACCGTATGCAGTTAACTCTTTGTGAGAGCTAACTCATTGAATCTCGTACACTTAGAGTTCGCCTTCACAGTATACAACGAAGAGTCGAATAAACGTCTTCACGATGATTCATATTTGAATAATTTGAATGATACAATCAAACGATTCGTGACGAGGTATTGAGTAAAAACATCGTGTAGTTTTCTGAATGAGTAAAGTGGATTCCTGCACTAAGACAAAAACGAAGCAAGACATTTATTGTTATTGCTACACGTTATAATCAGCTATTAGATGGTTAATTCGAAGTGCAGCAAGAAGAGGAGCTAGCATCAGACAGCATATGGTTGTACATGGTCATTCATGCATTCTGATGTCATCAGGTCCCAATACAAAGCGATCCCTTTTATTCACAAGTCACCGACTTACTACCAGGTTCTCGGCCGACCACGCCAGATCTGCGTGAGGTTAATTCTTTGCTCGAGAGACTTCGCGATTAGGACCGAGATTTCCCTCTGCGAGGATTCGAGCCCGGAACCTTCTAGGAACTGTGCCACCACAAAAAGGTACCGCATCAAAACATAAGAAAGCCGGAATTTTGTAATGTTCATACTGTACCTGTGAAGATTACTGCATTTTGGAAGCACCGAGAAGACTTGAAAACAGGATACGTGGACATGTCGCGTACATCAGCATATGAGACGATTCGGGCTGGACATTGGCGAAACATAACATGGTGGGACAACAGCAGATAGGCCCAAAAAGAAACGGACTGAAAAGACGAAGATTCTGTAGCACAACACATTGGGGCAAACAAACCGGAGTAAATCTAGATAGATGGTCGGTTACCCCAATTAGATCATTGCACCCGCAAATAACCGTTTCATTGCTGAACTCTGCATTCCGCATTTTTCATAAATTTTAGCTCATGTTTTAGTTCAGTGTTATTCACGTGGAGTTAACATGCAGTTTGCATGTCGCAACGTTAACCAGTAGACATTTCTCAAACTAACGCCGTGGTGCCGATGCCATTTCAAACTAATCGTCTAAACGGGGAGGCGAAGTTCGACCCACTGTTCAGGTGCCTGAACACCACCCACCCTGAAATGCTAGATCGTTGCAGGTCTTGCTCAAGTACTCTATGAGTAAATACTCTGTCGTTTTAACAGTAAACAAACACCACGGACGGTTTGCCGATTTATGGGAGGGGGTCGGACCTCATACAACTTAAACACTAATGCTTTTATTGTTAACGCGTTCCCCTGTGCAAACCGTAAATTCGTCAGAGCAATAGAAAGGAATATTCAACGTTTAAGAACCATTTTGCAGTTCCAGCAACGGGTCCATAACCAAAAATGTTGTCATATGTAACAAAGAGAAGCTTACGGCAGATTCAGTGACTTTTTTCATGCATTGGTGGTCATACTGTAAACTTAAACACGTGTCTGTGTATACACACGCAAATGAATAAGTTGATCAATTAAAAGTGATTTATAAATATCGACGTTTCGGCTGGTCTGTCATTAGCCTTTTTGCCGGTAATTAGGCTCCCTGAATCAGACTCGTGAAAGAGTACCGACCAATCACCTAATTGACCAACTTAATCGTTTGTGTTGTACATGAATAAACCGCTTTTACGCATTTTTTTTAGTTTTCAAGAAATTTTTTCATCTAAATACAGTGAAGGTCCATGGAAATGATTAGCCTAATAAAATCAGTGCCAGGATTACCTAGAAATCCGTTTAATAAGACACGACTACTACTCTTAGGCCTGAGAAAAGATTTTTCGGTACATGGAGAAAACGGCACACTCTCCAAAGTGCGAGATGCTTACGGACATGAAAGAACACCACTACCAAACCGCAGATGGAATATTTTT